TGCTGCAATACCGTGAAACTATAGCCTACTTCCTCTAAGCCGTTAGAAGCAAAAGGACGGTGCGTCTACGCGGGTAAATCTGCTAGTAACAGAAAATGTTCAAAAATTAGAATATTGTGGCATTACAACGTAGGTAAACATTAACCAAACTGCAGAATCTAAGTACATATTCAAAAATTTGTATATGCGAAGCATGAGCAGGTTTATTTCTCAACAGATGCCAGCTTAAGTTTGGAGATTATCAAAAGGATATCTTCAGTGTATGCAGTCTAGGTGTTTTGTTGCAACACCCACTGAGCAGAAATATTAATGATCATAGAAACCACACATAATTTATCACATGGACTAAGTTTATTGATACTTTACCGGAAATTTCACTGGCTACGAGTGTGGATCTCCAAAAACTTCAAAACGGAGAAATATACCTTTCAATGCCAAATGTCAGAGACAGTTTGTCATATAAATTCATGAAACTTAAACAGTCTTAGACAGACTACATTGGTTGTACAAGAACAGAATCAGACACGCGCTGGTTCGGAACTGGTGTTGTTACCACCGGGAGCTGTTGATTTGTTCCACTGAGAATATAGCAGAAGGTGCAGATATATTGCACTGTCAGTCAGTAAAATCGCAGAAGAAGTCATTGTTCGTTCTAGTGTAGTGTCTGTCGTAATCATTATGGCAAGGTTCAAGACCAAGTACACAAGGACTAGCCTCACGGTAGTTGGTTTTTACGCCACGCTTAGTCTGCTGTTGTTGCACTGCTGAACTCATGATTTCTGAACTGTTTTGTGTAACTTCAGTGCGGAAGTGGACGAAAGAATGAGTTGTATAGATGCCTGGGATCACGCGTTCTTGGAGAGGTGAATAACGGTAAACGACTAGCAGACCTGTGCTAGATGCACGGTGTATTTATTGGCAGCACATGGTTTCTTCACCGATTAGTGCATAAAATCACCTGCCTCTCTCCTAATGCATCACAAATGTCAATCAGATTGGCGATGTTGTCATCGCCAAAAATCGTCGAACATGCTTAGAAGATTTCTGAGTGTAGAAAAGTGCTGAACGCGGCAGAGACCATGAGCTGTTGTTGGCAGAAGTTAAACCAAAGCTAAGATCCTCGTTTAGCAGCAAAAATCTCTTTCGCAGGGATTAAAGTTGACAACTTGAAATGTCCAGTAGTATATCTAGCGTTCTAGGTCCCGATTGGTAAAAGATTCAGACCAGTTATTCGTCATTCATAGCATATATTGGTGAAGAAAGCTTGGAGCATATACAAAGGAGCAGCAGTAATAATGGCAGATAAGCAACTGGGACGGAAAAATGACGAGAGGAATCACAGACAAGTTTGGAAACTAAACGGTTGCAAGTAAATAACAGGTTTCCAAAATTGGTAGTAGGCAACGTTTCACCAGAGTAGTAAAAGAAATTAAAATGTTATTGAGGAATTTAAAATGCTTTTCTGCAAGAGGCAGGCTGAAATAATAGAAGGTGTTCAAAATATCGATATAAGTATCTTGTTCAGTAAAGTACGCTGCGACTTCGATAAAAGGTGATACTGGATCGCCGACCCTTGAAGAAGTGACATATCTTAAGCTAACTGAAAAATGACAGTTCTTAAGGAATTGATGAAGTAGAATTAATGAAGTACAGCCAGACTTATGTGATGAATATGGAATGAAGTGGGTGCTGGCAGTGGTGAATCTCGTTGATTTGTATGGCAGAAATTGCAAGGCGCAAATGACTGGATGAAAAATATTGTGGTCCCGTTAGTGAAGAAGAGCTGTTGCTCAGATCCTTATGCTATCTTTGGAATCAACTTACTATTCATTGTTGCTACCGTATTCATGCATTACGGTGAGCAAGATTGTATAACCTCTGGAGAATATCTCTGGTGAAATGCAGTCTGGATTCAAGACAGGCAGAACATGCTTCAGACGGACAGCAGATATTCACAATAAGACAGCTAATGGAAAAATGGGATAGAATAAAAATCCAAATACTTTGCAATCTCCCTTGATCCCACCAAAGCGTTTCATCCAGTTAGGAAAAATGCCTGTCAGAAAGTTGGTGAACAGTTAAAAAGTTAATAAGATGTATGATCTTTTGTCAGGCGCAGTGTGAATTGATGGCAGATTCGGCAAAACGTTTTGCACAAAGTTTGATTTAAGACAAGGAGCAATGGAATCTGCAATTTACGTTGTTTTTTGACTTAATGTCCCAGCCAGTGTAAAAGAGTTAAGCTATCAATGCAGAGTTGGCAACAGTTGTATAAACACTCTTGCAAAGAAATGACAGCGGTTTCATCCCTTGCAAATTTTTAGACTTTTAAAATGGGCTCCAGAAAAGACAGCTTCCGTTGTTAATGATATTCGCAATAAATTAATTTAACTATTACTTTAGAAATTGTGATGGTGTAACGTTATTCACGTTAATCATGCACTGTGATTATATTTATTACTGTTATGAATAATCTGTCCTGTGTAAATAATTATATAACAAGGGTTGATACCGTGCAATTTGCTTGTATCACAAGCGCTGTACGTAAGACGATGATATCTTTCAGAAAACATCGGTTCAGAAACATTGAAGAATCTTGAAATGCAAAGAGTTACAATACAGAATGCATCGGAAAGGGTATGCGTTTATGGTTTACTGATAATGATATCACGGTCTTTCTTGGTCTAGACAAAAGAAAACCACCTGCTGTAAATTATTATTCAATTAGCGAGACTGCGAACTGATGCAGTCGATTAATATATTTTATTGTTCTCTCAGATTTATCACCACGAGGTGTAATTCGACAGAACATTAGTTTTATGATCAATCAGTCGATCACGGATTCATGTTAAATGCTATCCCTTATTGTGAAAAGAAAAATTATAATTATAAATTTGAAGTCGAGCCAAAAAAAGTCTAGTGGCGCTTTAATACAACGTGAGCAATCGTCATTGAAGTGATTACCCACAATAATTGTTATGATCATGAGCCTCAGAGCCGCCCTGTGTAGTCATGAGAAAAAGGTGTACAAAAGTTCCTATCCCCTGTCTCGCAACTGTTGTAAAGATCTGCAATTCAGTATCGCCTCTTCGTATCGACTTTACTCATGATTCCAAAAGGACAGCTACGAGGTGTATAGTTGTTCAGGTATTTCACTTCCTGACTTTGAAATCGATTTAAAGTAATGTCCCTTGGTAGACTTCAGGGCTTCGTGGCACTGATATCGACTACCCATTATTAATGACGATGTTCAAGGAACTGTAGGCATCAGAATGATTATCAGATTTTTATGCTTTCGTTTGGAATTGTTAAAACCGGTTTGATATTATGTTCAGTCATTACAGTTTGTTTTGCGTGATTTAGAATTATTTTATATAGATTTTGGACGCTAACGAAGAGCTGAGACAAAGCAATCGGTCGATGACGAAGATTGTTCGTCGGCTAATGCAAGATCGTGTCATTCTATTCGTAGTTTTCATTATATTCGTTATGGTTGGATGTGCAATAATTTTTCTGGTCATTAATAAATTAACCGTGTAACGTCTGCTTATAATCAGCTGCTACGGTCGAATTGTACATAAAATGTGATTTGTGCTGTTTTGTGTACTAAAATTGTTATGCGCCATGGATCAATATTTTACAAGGGTAATTATCTAACGATTTAGTAACAAAAATTCCGTTATAGTTTTTAACTGCATGGTTCCTTTCCTTTGGGATTTTTGACAAATCTGCTGGCTCGCACGTCCTAACACGGTCCAAAATTTAGACATCGAAGAAAATCTTAATGTATAGCCGCTGAGAAGCCACAGCTGCGATGGTTTAGGTAGGATTTGCGAGTGCTGTTAAAAAGGCGAAAGAGCTATTCGTTGTTCAAGCGACCGGTCGACGATTTCAGAGAAGGCTAAGAATAACGTGGGGCCAGTGTCTTAGCAGACTATGCTCTAGATCTGGGATATCTTTTGCTGTTATCTGAAGATAGCGAATACTGGGGACATTGTCTGACAGGCCTGCTTCTGTGGTCGATAAGATACGTCCATGACAAGATAAGCTATCATCAGAACTGAACTGCCTGCGTTCATTTGCGGCATTTCTTGCCATCACTCGAGGCAAAATAAATCACTGAATTTCTAATATTCTTCGGATAGGAAATTATATATCAGTTAACGATTGTTCACTATATCTGTTATCAATTGCAACACGTTATAGACAGCGCATAAGGGAACGACGGGCAAGCTACCTTACTTCCTCTCGACGGTTTAAGACCAGTGCCACAGGTTCCGTGAAAACGTCGGTATTGTTCAATACATGCTTTGACGCACATTTCAATTGGAAAATTTATCACCTTAGTCCCTTTAAAGTCATAGTAAGGTTTATCAAAACTAAATTGCCATCAGCTGATTTGCTGACCACTGTTAACTGTTCATGGCAAAGTATTATGTGGTTTTCCGTAGTTGTCTCGTTTATGAGATCCTACTTCTGAAAATGTTCTCTACTCGATTAGCCACCTATAATAAATCTCTAGATTCTCCAGGGAAATTACGTACTTCATGTCATTAACTACTTTCAAAACTTATTCTGATTTGTTGCACGCATTGAACAAAAAAGTGACACTGAATTTTTAAAACGTCAAAATTCATAAAAATTTTCGATTCCCGTAAAATTATGAACTGAATCAAATTCAACAACAAATGATATTCAAGCAAATAACAAGAACGAACAGAATAATTTAAAATTTCTAAACAACTCGAAAATAACAATAAACCAAAAACAACTTGGCCAATCCCTGAGATTCCGTTATTTTCAATACGGCTTAGCTTTTAGGAGGGAACTTGGCAAAGACGAAAACGGCGCTTAAAACGAAGAAAGTACCTAGAGAAAACAAAGCGGTGAGGCGGAAATCGAAGAAGAACACCGCCGCGAAGCTAGTGATGATGATCGATATCGAGGTGGCGAAACCCTAAAAGCAAGAAAACGTTAGACGTCGGTAATGGAGACAGACATACTCTGTGTGATACCTTTTGGATGTTGTCGGCGAATTTAATGGTGGCCGCCACCAAGAGACCTCCTATGGCGAAAAACAAGACGATCGTCCACACTAGAAAGTCGTAGTCGCGGAACACGTTCAATCGCACACGTTCGTAGTCTTCGATCAGCATCGATATAAGACTGATAGGCAGCCCGGTGAATGACAACTGGATGTTTCGCATCCACAGACTCAAGTTGCTGCTCTTCAGCATCTTCTCCAAATACACACCGGAAAAACCGGACAACATCGTCGCTCCCAGCACAGATACCATGCCTGCAAAACAGGGTGATGACCGTTCAAAGCATTGGAAAGCCTGTCACTACAAACGTCTCCTGAAGTTCATTGTGATACAGAGTCAAGAAATTAATATAAATACAGCACAGAAGTTCACGATTCAATGGCTAAAAGCACCATGCGAGTGCAGACTACGTTTATTTACTGATTAAAATATGTAACAGTTCAAGAGACGTGTATAAGGCATAGAGTTTAATACACATTAACTGTGGGATGGGGTGCAATGGCGCAATAGTTTAGTTGTTTAGCATTTTAGAGATGCCGTATTTAAATACGACTCGAAGCGTAAACTTCATCTTGCTAAGTGCTAATTTCCTTAAGCAAACAATTCCCCCTGCGTGCTTCCGTGCAACCAATGGAAAACGTGAATAATAAGGACAGCATGCAGTTCTGCTGCGGTTGTAGCAACGGTT